TTTGGAGTTATTATGAATTAATCTGCTATGAATATTTAAGTATTGGTTTTTGTGTTAACAAAAGTTTTCATTAGAAAAATACCCAGAGCCAGGCACAGTGATTCATGACTATAATCCTAGCACTCTGGGAGGCTGAGACAGGAGGATTGTTTGAGCTCAGGAGAAACAGTGAGACCACGTCTCTACCAAAAAGAAAAAAGACAGGAGGGCATTGTGGCACACACCTGCAGTCCCAGCTACTCGGAAGGCTGAGGCAGGAGGATCACTTGAGCCTATGATGATGCCACTGCACTCTACTCAGGGTCACAGAGTAGGACTCTGTCTCAACAACAACAAAAAAAACAAAATAAGGAAACTGAACAACCCTCCTCACACACCCCCTTCATTTAAAAAAAAAAAAGAAAAAGAAAAAGAAAAATACCCAGGAGTGGGATTGTTGAATCATATGATTAATGTACATTTAACTTTATAAGAAACTGACATTGTTTTCCAGAGTGGCAGTGCCATTCTGCATTCCTGTTAACAATGTGTAAGGATCTCAGCTGCTTAACACTCTTCCTAGCACTTGGTATTGCCAAGTATTTTTTCATTTAGCCATTCTAATAGGTATGTATTGGTATCTCATTGTGGTTTTAAATTTTTTAACCATTTTAATGGGCAACTTAAAAAAATAACAGCATACACTGTTTCACTCCCTTAAACAGAGAATGTATGACATAAATTTTTCTGACTCAAAATCACCCTTATAGAATAAACATTGTACTACCCCCAGGGGCCTAGGGTTGCAGTACCTAGGGTTGTTTTCCTTCTTCTAAAATAGTCCCAGAATTACGTCTGCTTTTTATAGCTTTTTAAATCTTCTCTCTTGTTGTCACTTCTTGCTATTAATGGTGCTCCAGCCTCTGGCAGACTTTCCTTTTCACCCTCTTCTCAAACAGAGTTTAGAAAATAGATAACCAGGCTTGTTAAAATTACATCTAAAAAGAAGAGGGCAATCTGTGAGTGAGAGCTTAAAGGATTCTTCAGTGAGGAAAGTGAAAGCTTTCCCTACCCCCCCCAATTGTTACATCTACACTTCCTGATTATCTTGCTTGGTTGCTGAGAAATTTCTAGTAGTTAAATCAGTTAGGCATTTTTCAAAAAGGTATGGTTGCCAGCTAAGAGACTACCAGGTAACTGAGTCATCACACAGGTAACCTGTGCAATTAACACTAGGCTATGATTCTGGATCAGGAATTAATAGTTTACCTAAAGCAAAATATAGACAAGATTACCATGTCCAGACACCTAAACAGAAGAGATTATCTTAAAGAGTTTAATTCTAGTTTCCAAACACACTTTAGCCAAAATCCTGAGCACCTACTAGGTATGCAAAGCATTCAAAGGGGCACAAAGATAAAGAAATATTACAATTAAAAAAAAAATTTCAACGGTTCTTTCTAAAGATAGTAACCATATATATACATACTGATTCTAATCAGAAGTAATATTGACAGTGTTCCCTTGAAAATCACTTAAGCACAAGTATATAGCTGTGCTGTTACCAAAAGCAGTAAGTGAAACTCATCCTATCTTTTAAGTAGTATTTTCCATCTCTGAACAAGATAAAGCTATGAACACTTTTATGATCTCTTCTGGAGGTGGTCCCATCAGAGAAATGGCAAAATCTTACTGCTCTGAGCCCCAGGCTCCAATTCAGAAAATGTGAGGCAGACACTTCCTCTCACCCGAACTTCCCTGAAGAATGGCAAGTTGTGGCTCTGCCATGTTCACAGGCCAATCGCTACTCTTCCGCTGCCTCCACCCACACGCTTAAAAACTATTTCACCAATTGCAACCGGATCTTGGGTGGGACTTCCGCTATCATTTTAGGCTTAACTACCACCATCTCATCACAGGCAGCAGGGGCAATCATGAAGAGTGAGAATTTCACAAACTTTGAGTTCAAGCACAGCTTCAAGCAAGCATAAAAGAATGACAAGATGGAAGACAGAGTGACAAGAGCTAAAAAACCAAAACGGTCCCCAAAATATTGTTTTTAAGAAAAACAATGAAAAAGCAAGCAATCAAAACCTGAAGTCCAGGATCATTTATTTGCTTATCTTTACAGTCACTGCTGGGTCCTGAAGTTCTCCTCTGGCCCAGTTTCAGCTGCGGAGCCCTCTGCCAAAGGGACAGCAGAAGGCCGATAATGTGGAGCTCTGATTACCCACCCATCAGGGCACTGCTGAAGGTCACTGAATACTTACTGTGCACCAAAAAATAAATCTGTAAGTTCACGCCTGTATTGCATACGGCCCCCAATTTCGAATCTACAAAACTGAACTACTTTAAAGACTTTTCCACACAGATTTGTAAGTCACATAACTGACAAAGTGCCATCCTGTCAAATTTTACAATTCCTTGAAATCTAACACAATAAACCGCAATTTCCCTAAACATCTTATTTTAAAAGGAACACAGACAGTGTACTGAGTTCTGAAGAAAAGACTAATGCATTGGCCTTTACACAAGTTTCACTGTCACTTAGCTAATATTTGTGAAGGTAGCAGCAGCAGCACTAGTATTTCCAGCCGCTTCTCCTCACTGGCCCTGGCGATGCCCCCACTATTACTATTTATCCTACTTCTTCCAAGATAAACCTGTTGCTGGGAAAGCACAGGCTACATTCGAAAAAAATGTGCATTTTGTTAAAGTTGAAGGTAAGTAACCTGTCTGCCTCAAAAAAGAGGGGGAAATCCTAAGGATATTGGAGATGAAGACACACTACTTGCCACCTCTGGCTTCTGATCCGGCGCGCTCTACCAACCCTCAAGTGTGCTCACACGTCTGTGGACCCGAGCAGGCCCACTGAGGAGGGAAAGCTGGAGGCAGGCTTGAATACTGCGCGGCCTGGACAGCTGGCCATCCATCTTGAGGCCCAGCCCGGCTCCCCGCCCGCTCTCTCCAGCCCGGCCCGAGGGAACTCGGCGCCCCGCGCGCCGCCACGGCCCGGCCACATTCTGCGCCCCGGGATGCAGCGCAGCCCTGGTCCCCGGGCCCGACAGGCCCTGGCCCGCCCCAGACCCCCTGGATCCCCGGCCCGGCCTCACCTTGACGTGGAAGCGGATGAGCGCCAGGCGGATGCAGTGGGCCATGCAGACGGGCGGCAGGAACCAGACCTTGGGCGGCGGGGTGCCCTTGTTCTGGACATGGCTGACGATCTGCTGAGCCGTCTGGCGCTCGTTGCCCTGCCGCTTGACCCACTCGTGCAGCCGGGCCTTCTCGAGCGCGCCGTTGAAGAAGACGAAGAGCTCGATGTTGCCGCCGAAGCAGGCCTTGGCCAGCGCCGCCAGGTAGCCGAGCATGTGGTTCCACTGGCCGCCGCTGACCCAGTCGGTGTAGAAGCCGCCGTAGAGGCGGTGCAGGCAGTTGTCGGCGTCCACCAGCAGGCGCAGCGGGGTCTGCGGGGGCCGCTGCCGCCCGCCGCCCACCAGGCTGCCCCGGGCCAGCTTCTGCAGCTCCACCGGCACCACGGCGCTCGGGCAGTGCTTCTCGATGTAGTCCTGGAAGCCCTGCACGCCCATGGCGGCGGCGGGGGCGGGGGCGCGGGCGCGGGCGGGGGGCGGCGGGGCCGGGGGCGGCGGGGCCCTGGGGGTGGGCCAGGCGAGGAGAGGAAGGGGGCTGGAAGGTCTCCACCTTGGCGAGTCCAGCCGTGGAGGCGCCGGGGCCGGGGGCGGCGGGTCCCCGCCGGGCGGCTGGGCCGTGGCGCGGCTCGAGGGCCGCGAGTTCGAGTACCTGATGAAGAAGCGCTCGGTGACCATCGGGCGCAACTCGTCGCAGGGCTCGGTGGACGTGAGCATGGGCCACTCGAGCTTCATCTCCCGGCGCCACCTCGAGATCTTCACGCCCCCGGGCGGCGGCGGCGGCCATGGCGGGGCGGCCCCTGAGCCGGCGGCCGCGCAGCCCCGGCCGGACGCGGGCGGCGACTTCTACCTGCGCTGCCTCGGCAAGAACGGCGTGTTCGTGGACGGCGTGTTCCAGAGGCGCGGGGCGCCGCCGCTGCAGCTGCCGCGCGTGTGAGTGGCCGCGGGCGGGCGGGGGCGGGGTCTGCGGCCTGGCGCGCCGGGCGGGGGCCGGACCCGGGTCCCGACCCACTGGCCGGGGCAGGTGGACCGGGATGCGCGCCACGAGCCCCCCGCAGACCCGCGACCCGGACCCACACCACGACCCCCCACCCACGACCGGGACCCACACTCCCACCCGCCCCGACCCCCACGACCAGGACCGGACCCGGGGCCCGACCCACTGGCCGGGGCAGGTGGACCGGGATGCCGCCACGACCCCCCGAGACCCGCGACCGGACCACACCACGACCCCCACCACGCCGGGACCCACCTCCCACCTGCCCCGACCCCCACGACCAGGACCGGACCCGGGCGACCCACTGCCGGGCCAGGTGGACCGGGATGCGCGCCACGACCCGCAGACCCGCGAACCCGGCCCCACACCAACGACCCCACCCACGGACCGGACCCACACTCCCACCTGCCCCGACCCCCCACGACCAGGACCGGACCCGGGCCGACCCACTGGCCGGGGCAGGTGGACCGGGATGCGCGCCACGAGCCCCCCGAGACCCGCGACCCGGACCACACCACGACCCCACCCACGACCGGACCACACTCCCACCCGCCCCGACCCCACGACCAGGGACCGGACCGCGGGTCCCACCCACTGGCTGGAGTAGGTGGACCGCGTCTCACGACCGGGGTGCACGCGATGAGCCCCCCAGCAGACCCGCGATCCGCCCCACACCACGATACCGAACCCCACGACCACGTTCCCACCCGCCCCGACCCCCACGACCGTGACCGGACTCAGGGCCCCACCCACGACCGGGGCTCACACCTTGACCCACTCCCCACCAGGAGGACGGGACCCAGGGCACGACTCACAACCGGGAGGGACTAGACCCGTCCCACGACCAGGACCCACACCACCGACTCCTCCACTCCCCCATGACCAGAAACCCAGACCTACACTGGCCCCCCAGCTGGATCCCAACCCCCAGCCAGGACTCAGACCGCAGGACCCTCCAGTCCCCGCCCCCGCCCGGCAGGTGCAGCCCCACCCAGGCTGTCACCTTCCTAGAGTTAGAGCTGCGGGTGCCTGAGTCAAGGCTTGGGGTACTCCGTGCGCTCCGGGAGTGCGCATGTGTTGTTTCTAACAGGCAGGTAGGTCGTAGTGAACAGAAATATTAAAAGTGTATGTAGTTGGAAGAACTGCCCCAAATTAAAGTGTATATCTGATTAGCTTATGAAGGGTTGTCTGTTACTTCCTTTTTGTTCATGTTTTCAGTAGTGAAATACTTAAAGATACATGTTTTGACTCCTTCACCACGTTTTTTAGTAGCCTGAAGTTTGAAAAGTCCTCAACACAATAGATTGTAAATCCATGCCGGAACCTTAAAATTTTGGGAAAATAGATTCTTATAAAACTTTCTTAAAAAGACAGTTGATTGTTTAGAATTATTAAAAACTCAGGTAGAGTGAGCCTCAAAGGGAACTGTCAGTCCTGCTGCAAAACAAATTAGTTTGCTTCTATGATTTTATGAAGTTATTTACTCTGCTTGAAAAACAAACTTGCTCTCTAGGAAATGCTAATTATCCTCAGGGGCTCATTTCTAGATCATTGCAAGTACAGCCTTTGTCCACAAACTGGAATTTTTAACTGCATTCAGTTGTTGGGGGATGCTGGTAACAGCTGTCTTGCTTTCTTAATTCTGACTTCTAATCCTTAACTGTGTGTTGTGTCCTGCTTTGTCTCCTAGACGAACAGGAAAGGTGGACCAGCTGATTCTTTAAACCTTGATAGTGCGATTTAAAGAATGTTATTTTCAAACCAAAATACTAAATTAGTGGTAGGAGCCTAACGGTTGCCCTTTAATCTGACAGTTTGTTGTTTTACAAAAAACTCAGCGTCACAACAAAGGAAATTATACGTTTACCTGAAGATTTTGAGTTTTTAAAGAAAACTTTCTTAATGTTCAACCAGAATCACTTGTGTTGAATTGAATTTTGCACAGGCCAACGTGGTAAACGTGAAATAAATTGGCCTTTCAGTTAGTGAGGGAGCAAATTCAGACTTTCGAAGGATGGAGTGAACCTTGCAGGAGAGATGAGTAGCTAAGAAGAAGGTGAAATGGAGGCTGGGCCTCTGACTGTCACCCCAGCTTGTGCATAGAGAAGAGTCTAGCCACGTCTGAGGCCAACACAAGTCCTGCACTTCCTATGGGCCTGGTAACCCACAAGTGGGGCAGTTTTTTTTCACAGAAGGGATTTTGGCATTTGTACAATGAATTCTGTGATTACCTTGTAGCCTATTTCAGCACCTCCTTTCTGTAAGGCATCACTTCCAAGTTTTTAGTGTAGGGAAGTAATACAGGTTAATGGAATGGGCTCTAGAAATGCTGCTAGTGAAAGGTAGATAAATTGTTTTAAAATCTTTTCTTGAATTTAAGCTCAGTAGTTCAAGTTGATGTTACAAGTTCTTTTTAAGTTTAAAAATCAAGTATATAAGCTTAAAAGCACATATAATTTAGAGTGATTATGCACTGAAATATTCTTAATGCTTATTTCAGATTTGCCTATTGATTTTTTATTTTTTATTTTTATTTTTTGTCAAGGTAGGGTCTTGCTTGTTGTCCAGGGTCTTGAACTCCCCCCTCAAGTAATCCTCTTGCCTCAGCCTCCCAAAGTGCTAGGATTACAGGCCCAGGTGTGAGCCACTGTGCCCTGCCTTGCCTATTGAATTCAAAATCACCGTAGAGTTAGAAAATATAACCCATGGTTGGTCGGTCTCTTATTTGAACACCAATGATTTTCAGTTACAACTTTAAAATGATTTTACATTTTGAATTTGTATTACAGAGAATTTGAATTCACAGAGAATTTGGAAGTGTACGTAAGTTTAGGTTTAAGATGTGCGCTTATTATTCCATTGAAGTACTAGATAATGTGTTAATTTCAGAAGAAGAGAGAAAGAGGTCTGTGATCCTGTTCTTGGCTGTCATGAGTATTTTAAATAATTTTGGTAAGATGTGAATACAAGTGCCTTTTCCACAGGGTTGGTGAGCCCCATGGCCGGCGTGAATGGGTGTGTGTGTGGGCTCAGCGTGCACAGGAGTGTCAGGGTGTGTGGTTTTCCTGAAAACAAGTGATTTCTGCAGGTCTTTGATATTTCTTGCTAGTTATGCAGGGTTATGTGTAAAAGATGCAGCGTTTTCCTCTCTGAGAGCCTTGGACTCACAGGAGACACAGATGTTACTGGACCACAGGGTGGGCTCAGGGGGCACCGGGGCCACCTGGGCAGGGCTCCTGGAGGTGGGCAGGTGGAGTTGGCCTCATAGGTATGGCTGGCCTGTAGCCTGGAGAAAGGGCCATTTAGGCTGGAAGGGACCTTAGGTTGTGGAATAGCTGGAGCTCAAGGTTTGCCTGGACCTGGAGGGGGGCATTTTTACTTTGATCAGTGACAGAATGAAGAATGTCCTCTTTGAGGACAGAGTCTTGTTTGTCCAAGGGCCCAGTCTGGCATCTGAGACTAGTAAAGTGTTTTAGGAAGATCAATTGGAAGGGAGTGTGTGGTTTTGTTGTTGCTCTTACTGTTGCCATGGTAGCAAACTAAGTATAATTTAGAAATAAAAATAAGCAACTTTGTCAGTTTATATTTTGAAAATGTCAAATGAATTTGACACATTGTTGATCACTAGGATCCTATAATATCTAATAGCCAAACATAAATAGAACAAGTTGAATCTGCTATTGCCCTGGGCTATGTAATGTGCAAAACGGGAGATTTATTTAGAAAAATGACCCCCTGTTGCTGTGGCACGTTAACTGTGTGTCCGTTCTACCTCGTGGTCATGCAACACTTCTTCCTTACGTGGCACGTTGAACCTGCAGGTTACGTTTGGTGATGTGTTTGAAGACTTGCTCACTAATCAGAGATAGCGTCCCGGGTGAGCACTGGAGAGGGCCAGCAGGCAGTCAGGCTTCCGGCGCTTTCCAGGTGGAGACTCCGAGAATGAGTTGGAGGAACTCATGGGCCTGCTCAGGAAGGGTTTGGGATCCCAGAGAATACTGGGACCAGAAAGAGGGAAGTATGGAGGGTGTCCAGGGCAATCAGGAAGTTTTGGGCAGCCTTTGGGAGGGCTGCTGGGTGTGGGCTAGGGAGCACAGGGTGGGTTGGAAGGAGGGTGCAGGTGAGATTAGGTTAGGAGGAGTGGAAACCTAACAGGTGAGTAGCTGAAGGAACCACGGTAGGAGCCCTGGTGGGCTTGAGGAGGCATGAGAAGGAGGACAGAGTTCCTAGTAGGAAAAGATGAAAAATGTGATTGCCTTGTCTGAAGACCTGAGGGGAGCAGGTCAGAACAGAGCCACTAGTGAGATCTGGCGTGTTTCCTTCTTTATGGGCTGCAAGATTGGCTGAAATGCCTTAGTTTTATGAGCTGACATCCTTTTCTTGACAGGCTTGTGAGTAGAACTGAGAGCCAGGGTTCAGGACCCAGGAATTGGCACCGTGTTGGTATAAAAGGCAGATTCTTAGCAGAGTGGCAAATGCTGCTTTGCACTTTTTTTTTTTTTGAGACAGAGTCTCACTTTGTTGCCCAGGCTAGAGTGAGTGCCATGGCGTCAGCCTAGCTCACAGCAACCTCAAACTCTTGGGCTCAAGTAATCTTACTTACTGCCTCAGCCTCCCCAGTAGCTGGGACTACAGGCATGCGCCACCATGCTCGGCTAATGTTTTTCTATATATATTAGTTGGCCAATTAATTTCTATTTATAGTAGAGACAGGTCTCACTCTTGTTCAGGCTGGTTTTTGAACTCCTGACCTTGAGCAATCCGCCCACCTGGGCCTCCCAGAGTGCTAGGATTACAGGTGAGCCACCTTGCCTGGCCCACTTTGCACTTTGAAAGTGCTTAGTATACAAATTAATTGCCTTATAATGACCACTATGTATTTTTTTTTCTTTAAAAGCTGTAATATGCATTCATTTGGCAAATCAGGATACGTTTTTATCACTGATTTGTAGCCATTGGGAACACAGTGCAGCTATTTTAGCACAGTCGTTACTTTGAGTTCAAAACCCAACAACCAAGCTGCTGGTGCTTCCCCAGTGTTCAGTTCTTCCATTGGTAAAACTCAACCCTAATCTCACCTGATTTCCAATAATGTTAGTTAATGAATAGTTCAGGACGTTTCAGATCTAAAATAATTTCAGTTTCTAACACATTTTGAGAAAGAAGCCTGTGTGACCAGTCACCTGTTGGGATCATGTGTGCGCTGACTGGCTTTGCCAGGAGAGAGTGAGCACAGGCTCCGGGACAGATGGGGCAGACTCCAGCTTGCATTTGCCAGAGTTTTTGTCCGTCACGCTGAGTGGCATGGGCTGTGTCTGTGGCCCCTGGTAGACGTCAGGGGCTGCATCTGTTTTGTCCATCACAGTGTCCTCAGCACCCTGCCTTTAGGGCCTGGTACAGAGGGCCCCATGGGGGTCTGAGGCATGACTGTGACCAGCAGGAGGACAGAAAAACGTGATACAAGGAGGGAATGTTCCAGAGGGCAAGCCTTCCTCAGGGTGCTCACGTCACTCACGCACACCTGGACGTGTGTGCAGTAAATTGGTTGAGGGTTGAGGCTTTTCTTGGAAGTGGTGAGCATGGTTGAAGTTTCATCAGGGCCTAAGGATTAAGACAGGGTGTGGGGCATGGCTGGCGCACCCAGGGGCTGGCCAGTCTTGGGACAGGTCTGTCTGCTGGTGCCCACCTTCCCTGGTTACGAGGGGAAAGGGGAAGTGCCTTCTGCCCTGGGCAGGAGGCAGGAAAGGACCTGTTTAAATTTAATGTCCTGGTATAGTCTGACTATACTGTCATTTTGGAATTAAAGATTTCCAATGGAAGGACTTAGCAATTCACAATATACTGTTTTACTTTTTTTTGAAATAAAAAAAAAATTTTTAATTTTTTATTTTTGAGACAGAGTCTCTCACTGTGTTGCCCGGCTAGAGTGCCGTGGCATCAGCCTCGCTCACAGCAACCTCCAACTCCTGGCTCAAGCAATCCTCCTGCCTCGCCTCCCGAGTAGCTTGGGACTACAGGCATGTGCCACCATGCCTGGCTAATTTTCTGTATTAGCTGCCAATTAATTTATTTCTGTTTATAGTAGAGACAGGGT